TATTGTCGAGGCCAGAGTTGATTGGCAGATGAAAAGTCATCAAACTTCGAAGAACCAGCCATGTTTTGCCAAGTTTGTTGGAGATACTCGAGGACTGGAATTGCGCGCCATACTTAGGTTCACGAGTCGCCGAAAAATGATTGTTGTGCATTGGCAGGTTCCTGGTTATACAGTAGGTTAATACAAACATTTGAGACTCGACTGGACACTCCGCACATACCTGAAGCACGTTGTGCATCAATTCCAACTTCTTACATTCTTCGGCTAAAAAGCTTGAATGCTCCATATGACTTGCCCTGCAAGTTTGGGACTTTCGTCGCTGTCATCCCGCCACGTTGTATGAATCTATTCACCACCCTGCGGCAGATCAAATTGAGTTAGTATTGGGCATAGGCACAGTAATAGAAACCAACTTACTTTGCGTAGCTTAAGGGTGCGCTCCAACATACCAAAGAGTGAGGCCCATCGTGTGCGAATCCATTTCAAAAAGCTCAAGCTTCGGCTCATTGACCTCGACACAACACTGTTGAAAAAAAAGTGCGTGCTTGGGGAGATTTTCCGAATCTGTGTAACAAGTGCGAGGGGGCTTTTCCTGCGGTGTCGGCAACCTCAAAATCAGTTGTTTCATCATCATCATCTTCATCAGCCATGTTCTTGAGGAGCACGCTTGCTGGTGTGGGTGCGACCTCCTCAACAAAGTGTTTCGCAGCTAGTGCAAGGCGTGCTCCATACAGCTGAATAGTAGACATCAATATATATAAATCACGATATTAAATAGTTCACTTACCGCACACGGTGTTCCCCAGCAATCCATTTCTTGCCGGAAGGGTCGATAGCAAGTGCGACAGTCTGAATTGCTGTGTTGTTGTTGGTAGCATTGTCAGCTGTAAACCATCCAACCTTAGTGCGGATGCCATAGTTATTGATAGTTTCAATCAGGATTCTTCCAATGTTTGCTCCCACTGTGATTGCCGTTGATGATGGTGAATGCAAGCTGCTCTGTCTTCAACTCCCACTCATGAGGTTTCCCAGCTGGGGAGTCAATATAATGCGCGGGTGACGGAGAGAAAAGGTACCCCAGGTTCGGAGGTCCATGAGTTGAATGTGATCGAAATCTTGCTATCAACTTGCTTAAGTTTCTCCTTGACACGTTGGAACGGCAAGCTGTGCCCGTTCAAGAATTTCATCTCGAGTCTTGGTGCGGTGAGGAATATCCCTGTCTGAAAGGGAAGGCCGGAGGTATTGAAGGAGCCGGCGAAAGGGTCCCTTGTCAATGAGTTGGAATGCCTATCTATGGCATGAACATCCTAAGTCACGATTACAAAAAAAAAACTCACCTCGTCCTCAGACACGATAAGTTCAACAATGTAATCCATTAGACCGGTCTTGGTGAATTCAGGAATTTTAGGCGTGAGGGAGGCATCTAACGTTTTCTGCAAGTCGTCGGTTGCTTTGCAGTTAGGAGGTATCGCCCGATCATGCATCTTGATACCTCGTTCTTTGCAGCGGTCCGGTATATTGGAAAGTGACACTTCGCATTTCGAGCGATATGGGTGCGGCGAGTCGAAACACTGCCTTTGAAAAAGCACTGATTGGTGGGTACATCATTGGCTCTTGAATTGACAAAGTTAGTTATGTGTGTGACGTTCAAAGTAAAAGTAAAAACATACCTGCATATCTCGCACCACCAGCCATCTTCGGGTTCTTGGGTGTGCGGATTGATGCGTCCCTTCTCCTGAGTAAATACTACCTTCAAATCCCCACTGCGCTCCTCTTTCTTCTTATGCTTGCGATCCTCACGGTCCTTGTCTCCAAATACCTTGGTCCGCTCGTAAGCTTCCTCTTTGTCATTGTCTTCGGCCTCTTCTTCATCATCTGAACAATCCTCTAGCGCAGGGGGTTCGTCGTCATCGTCATCATGGTGACGGACCAGACGGGACCCATGTTGCACTTGCTTGGGTGCAGGCTGTCCTTGGGGAGGCGCTGGAGCCACTCATTTTGGCTGGAAGCCGTGTTGCCAGCATCGCGGATTTTTTCTGTCGGTTTAACAGCTCGGCCTGAGCGAGACACAAAGGCAGTTAGCTTGCCATTGGATGCAGGAGGCGGAGGTGGAGGAAGCATGGGCGTGTCATCGTCAGGATCATTGTACCAATCGATGGCACTAGCATCCTTGAGTTGGCCGTCAGATCCAAGTGCGCACGACATTTGTGCAGCAAGGAGGGTGAAGATTGAACCTGTAGTAAGTAGCTCATTTATTCCAAATTTTATGATAAGAGATCAAAAAAATGACGCACCTTGAACATCCTGTTGCCATGCAATTACTTGGTGTTGAAGCTTGAAGTACCAGAACGAGAAACCTGAGAATATGTTCTGAAAATAAAGTCCATTGAAGTCTGAATAAAGATTAACATTTGTTTAACATTAGGCTTACCAGAACATCGAGTAGATTACCAGGGAAGTCAGATCTCGCCAATGGAATGTGTTGGGTGTTTTGGCTGCGAAGTCCGATTCCGCTGTTGATTGTCCCGAGATCGATCGACATGCCGGTTGCCAGAAGATCAGAGCAGATATATTGGTGGATCATGCAAAGAATATGAGAACACGTTCGGACGGGTTCGAACGGGTTCACAGTATTCAGGCAGCAGCCGAACGCTGAACTTAATAATCGGTTCGGTCCTTATACTATTTCGAACCTAGGACCGAACCCACGGTCCGGTCCGGGAGGGTTCAGGTCCGAACCGAAGTTCAGAACCGGACTGCAGCATCACACTAGCTCACATATCATTGCAACACATCAATACAGAAGCAGGGTGGATGACTCTGCTTTGCAATCTCGGTAAACAGGTGGAGTAGCTGCTTTTAAGCAGCAATCGCCTGAGGTCAGGAAGATGTTGATGGTGACTCACAGCTGCCCAATGTTGAATAGTGCTTAATACACAGCCCTACGTTGTACCTTTGGGTGGTACGATTGGTCAAAGGTGGCATCCATCGAGTAAAATTCCGTCATCTTTGGAGGTGATAGTAGGGTTCAGTGACAGAGGATCAAGAGTTTATATTTATGGCTGAGTACTGGGATCTGCAGCAAAACATGACCGCACGCGCACCGTACGGCGTATAACGTGGTGGAAAACAAAACGCAGATAGATGATCGATGCAGAACCCAGGTATTATGAAATGAAGAGTGTTCTGCTCGTGGATTCAATCGGCCAGGGGTTTGTTCAGAATAACCATCTAGACTCGTGACCAGTCCTAACGTATGAGGCAGCCGTTGATTTTCCAGTGTAGGTTGCGTTGCGTCGCGTCAAGACTCAGTACTCAATAGTGACACTGAAAACTATATTGTTTATTTTTCTATGCTAGTAACAGCTTCATTCGCTAAAGGTCACGTTATCCTGCGAATCCGCTCGACCTCCAAATTCAAAGCCAGTTTTACCAGTCCAGCTTGCCTCATAGGTTATTGGTCACGAATCTAATAACCATCCTCGCCTCATATCCACAGCAGTGCACAGATAGACCTGCAGATCGAGGCGTACTTTTGTCTAAAAAGATTGGTCTAGTCTCCCTGAGGTATGTTATGATCGACTCATAAGATCCCTGTGAAGACTGAATAATGAGTATTAGGACTGTCTGATAAGATTTGAGCCTTTGCATGGACCGTGGTCATCGATCTTATTAACTAGTCACATTTGACAATACCAACCTAAGACAACAATAGAAAAGTCAATGAGACAGACTCGCGGCGTGCGCATCGGGTGCGGTCATCAGTGCTCGGTTGACCAAGGGCGGCGTTGCCGAATACCTAATCATTTACCGCATTCTTTTCGAATTTAACCTTTGTGTCGCATCTCTGCAGATCTACCTGTCAGTGCTCGATAACTGTCGGATGGCATCGGCACCCTATTGGGCTTGCATCAAGTCATGTCCTGCTTCTCGTGTCGGAGCGCTACTCCAGGATGTGACCATGCGACCTGTCTGAACGATCTTGCGTATGCTCTTCAAGTGCTGACTATTCACTGGTGCACCTCTCTTCTACACATCTTAGATACGTCTAGCTGTCACCTCACGCATTCCATCTGCTATACGGTACTTGTGCATCGGATACAACCCCAATCTCGCTTCCAGACTCCCAGAGGTAGCTCAGTGGGATGCAAGCTGATTGCCCAATACGAATGGCGTCGCGCAAGGTTGTGCAGCGATATTTGTTTGGACCGCATTCATAGACTACAAAGCATGTTATCGACCCTTTGGATGCAAAATCCGATGGAGTCGTCAACTGTGGACAGAGCACGAAGAGGTTCGCTGCGAATGCTTGATCCTCAGGTAGATCAACAGTGTTCTCCCACCATCTGAGATTGCGTTCACAAGGTGGGCCCTGGAGTTCGTATCTGCCCCGATTGATATTCAGGAGTCCTCGAACTTTTTGAAGCGGCCCGACATGCAGGTAAGCATTTAATTACGATATAGAGTTCTGCTATTGATCAGCAAAAACAGAAAAATTGTATGGACTGGATTCGAGGCATTCAGCCATGCAGAAGTCACTGGTTACTGTACTGCCCATTCACGAACCTTGGTTCACAGTCAGGTTGAACAACGAATTGAAGATGACGAAAACAGTTTATCGCTGCATTGGTGAGAGCTTCTGCTGCTGCTGGTACGGCAAGTGCTGATCAGAGTCAACTGTAGACTCCTTTGCTACAACGCTGGAAAAGTCTATTAGTAACCCTTCTAAAAGCTATTTTTTGCAGCGGAAGTTTGGAAGACTTATCCAGTAGGTTCGATCAAATGCAGAGTCCGCGTTGACAATAACACATACATACGTTGCACATGTAAAATGCAATGAGAATGTAGTTGTTTCTGTTTACGTTCCGACTGGGCAGAGCATTAGATTTACGTACGACCTAAATCGCTGCCTATAAAAGGTAAACGCAATCAACAAGCTTGACAGTGAACACACAACTTGCAACACGACCATCTATTTCCCCACATCAACCGAACCTGAAATGACAGACTATGACATGGATTTTGAATCGAATTCATCGTCATCTCGAGATTCATCCCCGGCATCGTCGCCGTTGTTAGCACCCTTGGACTCATCTCCGCCCTCGAGTCACAGCATGAGCCGTATATACTAGACTCCCCACCCCAGACGCGTCTAGGTTTCTCTCATCCGTTCGCGGCATCGGCAAAAGCCAACAAACGCCCTCCACAGCGGGAAAAGAAGGCAAGATACTCCCCCGAGTACACCTCCCGCACTTACTCCAACGCCATTGTCCCGCAGCTCAGTCTATTCTCGCTCGCTGGGAGAAAAAGACTACTTGCACGACGAAACGTCAAGTCTCTTCTCTCTAGACTCGAGCACGTCCGCGTTACGTTGATCGCGATGGAGCGATTATGGGACGACGCGTTGCGCAAACCCTTCGATACAGGTAACGGGCACATAGACCTGAGGTGCCGTATTTCCCAGCTTCATAGAACTCACTCTTCTGACGCGTCTTATCGTGCATACAGTAATCTATCATTGAAAACTATTCCTGCGTCGGTCGCCGATCTCGCGGGGTTTTTTTAATACGACGGAATTATCTGAGCAAAGTCTATTCTCCGGACGCAGTTTGTCACCGTCAAGACCGAGCCAGCTTTCGAGGTCCCGAGTGCGTTCATTCGAGCGGACAAAGTCCATTATAGACTCGGGCAAGGAACGACATATGCTTCAACTCTACCTCTTTGGAAACAACATTCACGATCTTCCTCCTGAGCTTTTCAAGTTAGAAAATCTGACTGTGTTGAGTCTGCGTGCGTTTCTTTCGTGTTTCCCATTATTATATATTTACCAAGTTATAGGCGGGAACCAGTTGACATATATCCCCCCGAGATATGTCATTTGATCAACTTGAGGGAGCTGAATATCTCGCTGAACCGCCTGTCCTACATTCCATCAGAGATGCGAGACATGAAACTCTTGAAGTTACAGCTCAACCCAAATCCCTTCTTAGCCGAGCCGTCCTTTGCTCGCGTCCCCTCCGCCTCTCGCGACATCCTGTCTCAGCGGCGGTCCATGACTCGCATATTCTCACAATACAGGGAGTCGGCGGCGAATTCATCGAGAGCGATCACAGTATCTCCCTTGACGACGTTTCCTTCCGGGCGTACCTCCACTGATTGAGATCTGTTATCGAAAGTTACTCTGCTCACTGAAAGACGACAACTCTCGGACTGTGCTCAGCGAATATTATGGGGTCCCTCTTTCCGACGTTTGGAACGTGCCAGAAAATGTACGCGAGGTATTGACGGAGAACGTGCCCGGTGTTTTCAAGTCCAATAGTATCCCTCTCAAACCTCGAAAGCATGGCCGGAGGCCATCGCAGGGCTCGGGCGGGTGTGCAAACCCGGAGCACAAGGGCCGATTCTTCGTGAGGCACGCTGCCGAGCGATTCACATGGGAGCGTCACATCGCTGGGTAGACGTGGGTGGAGCAGTTCCGCTGCGATGGAGAGGGTGCATAGAGACGTGCTTGGCGTTTTTGGATGAGGATGCACGGCGGGCCAACGCTCTAGAGCTGCCACCCACGGATGCGAGCGATGCGATGGATTTTGATGAGACGGATGCCGTGATGGCAATGGACTTAAGCGGGTTCGGCGTGGATGAATTCGATGACTGAAGGTATATCACGAACAATCAAGACACTTCATATGGTAATAAATTTGTACAGTAAGTATCTGTTTCCACCGTCCTGTATCATATACCACACCTTGTGCATCATACTTTATAGTGACAGTCACTATGCCTTACAACTGGATTGTAATCACTTCGAATTCTGCTTCACATTTACATGGTGCTTAGGAAATATTTGCCTGCTCCGGTAACTAACTTACAACTTCATATTGATAGACGAGGATTCCGAACTCCTCCTTAGCCGTCATCGGGGTGATATGTATAAACACTGCAGATGCGCTTACATTACTGGGACACTACATCTGCAACTTGTCCTGTCGACCATACCAGAGGTCGGCAAACAGCGGGTCGCTATGTCGCCTTGTCGTCACGGTATTCATTCCGCCTTGCGCTTCTATGTTAATTACTGTTTCCACTCACAGTTGCGAATGCCACTGTTATTGGTGAACCAAGTGATATTCCTGGACAATATTACACAGGTAAGGGTGTCACCTCCAGTACTGAGAGAATGTAATTTACCCTGTGCAGTCAACCCGCAAACGATCAACGAGATTTTTTTGACACACCTCGGCCTTTGAACCATTCAAATTGGTGCATAAGTGAGTTTGCAAACAATTCACGCAAGCCTAACTCACCACGGGAAAAGCTGAAGAGGAGGGCAAGCTAGAAATGAGTGAAAATGTATTGGAGTAGGTGGGTGAGGCCCCAGCTGTGACTCTGAACCTCGGTATTTTCAGGTAGCCTTCGAGTCTCGACACCAATATCACAGTAAGTTCCAGCGCTATGAGATGGCTGGTTGGTCGAACCTCTCCTACCTTTATGCATAACCTGCTGTTGTTCTGACTGTATATTTGATTCTCGGCCATTGCCTGTATCATGGAATAACTTGTTCTTTCAGACCCTGATACCTCGGGCGGAAGGACGCAATCTACTTGGCTCCCAGGACGTGTTCTGATAAAGCGTTTTATCGCCGATACCTCCAGACCCCTCGCTTGTATCACAATGCTTCCCCACACCACTACACATTCTCACAACAGCGCTGGGTGTTAGGGTTGCCGTTCGAGTCGGTGCAACTTTCGGTGTACTGGGTGACTCCCCCGCACAAGTACCCGCATGGAGCCCAATTGCATAATCTGATACTCTCTGAGTCAGACGTGGCTTGCACGCCAAGAGGACTGATAATTGTTAATGCCAGGAGAATGGCTGTGAAGAAGTTCATCTAGACCATCGGTGTCATAAGTTGGATCTACGGTCGGTGAGTTGACTCTTACCGTCAAAAAGTGCGAGTGTATGACTGGTGTCAAGCTAAAGCGCGGGTCTGTTTGTTTTTCTGTTGTTCGCCATTTTTATGCTCATCCAGTGACACGCATATCTGCTACTCATCAAAAATTTGATCTCTAAGTTCAAACTCAGCATTCATGCCAGCGCGGTGAGCATTAGTGTGGGGGGCAAAACTACTTGGCTTTAGTTTTGCCGGTTATAACCGGCAAAACCGGCAAAACTTGGCAAAACTCTAGGCGCTTAGCTAGGTTATGTAGACTGTATGTATGACATTCCTACATATGATGACATCAATATCAATGTTGCCTCGTCCCAGCTGTCACCCTCGCAATTGTAATTAACCACCTCAATCTCATCTAGAACAGTCTGGTTGTTCGACCTGATCCAACTCGACGGTCGAAATCAAAATTTCCCACGAGCACTTCAATATGCTCTGAACTTCTTCACTGAGTATACTCTCTAGATCAGTGAGAAGGTCATCTGCATTGCGAGGCTCAGTCGAGAGCGGAGGTGCCCATGCGAAGGATGCTTTAAGATCCTGTGGAGTCTCAACAATCTCTTCACGAATGTGCATGTGAGTGCGAAGGTTTGCATGAATTTTGCCGAGTGTTTCAAATGTGTCAACTAAGAGATTACACCCTGTGCAGAATCCAGATCGTGTTGTGCCGAGATCACAGAATGTGCGCTCTTGATAAGTTGTCAGTGTCGCCGCAATGTTTGCATTTACAGTAGTAACAATGGGAGCTGTTGTCAACTCGTTCCAGGCACTCGAAATTCGTTGATCAGTGATATGAGGGGGCGCCCTCCAGCATGCACCATCTTACTTTAGGGACGTCGTTTTGCGTGTTCTCTTGAATTCAAACTATATTATCAGAGAGCTAAATTACATCTCCACGAGTCTTGGATATCCTGGAGTTCTACCAAGTTTTGCCACCCCCCTTTCGCGTGAGTTCTGCCGAGGACCGGGCACAACCAGTTTTGCCGAACCGGTTGGCAAAACTCGGTAGTTTTGCCAACAACACTAGTGAGCATACAGAATCTAATTCGATCCTCCATCTAGGCGCACTGCTGTGTGAAAAAAAATAGAGTTAATTGAACCAGGCTC